GGGGGGGGGGGTTTGAGGGGAGGCTAGGGGGGGCGGTCTATTCGGGATAGACAAGTCTACCAAATCTCATGTTGCGAACTGGCTTTGGGGGGTTGAATTAAAACCAAAGGTCGAGAGCAGTTTCAGAGCGCACAATGAGAGGAGACGGAGGGGAAGTGAGCGCGTTCGCACGGCCTGCCAGATCAATGAAAGCGGCACAAAGGCAGGAAAAAGATTTCTGGCTGCTTCTGGCCCAGCCAGATGACGAGACTTTGCTGTGAGGAACCAATCGTCCAAACTGTCAACGTCGAAGGGGAACAAGCGCAACGACGTTTCGCGCGACACCTTTCCGGCCGGCCCTTTCGCAGCGGCCGCGCTCACTCGCAGACAGCGGCGAGCTACTATGAAAGGAGACGACAAATATCGCAATGGGCCTCACCCTTTCAAATTAATCAATAAGAACAAGAAAAGAAAATCCCTTTCACTCGGGCCGGCCGCATTGACAACGACGACCGAGCATGAACGATTGATGCGAATGTGCGGGCCAACTCCACGCCGGCGGGGCAAAGCCAAGATTCAAACCTGAAAGCTTTGACTGCGAGGCAGTTGTTGAAACCCCGAGCGGGCCGCGCCACATCGGCGCAAAAACGACATCCGGGTGGATTCTCTTTTTTTGTATCGGAAGGAAAACTTGCCACACTGCTTACGGAGCAAGGATCTGGGATTTCTGTTTGCGCGGGTGCCCTTTGGTTAATGATTTGCAGTCAACGGAGGCATCGTCGTCGGGAGCCGACGCGTGTGCGTGCGCTGGGCGCATGTTAAACACACAGCTGATCTTTGCCATCACTGGATTCTCTTGTGGCCGAGGCACAAAGGGCAGACTGACAGAGTGCCTCGCTCGCCTCCTTTCCGTTCAGTTCGCCAGCGCGTCGGCTTCAGCGATTTGCACCTTCGCTTGACGAGTAGAAGTCCACAACGGAGATCGTGCGATTGCTGAAGTGTGCGCCCCCCAAACGACTGGTGAGATGGCTGCTCACAATGAAGCAATCACATTCAAACTTAAGTTGGATGGCGATCTCCATAGAAAGTGCCTCTGCATCAAAATCAGATGTTCCAGGAGGCTTTTCTCCACCTTGGCTTTGCTTTGATGCTTGTGAGTTGCAACTCGAGTCATGTCAAATTACGCTTGCCTTTTCGTGGAACAAGATTTGGACTCTGTGCCCATAAAATGATGACACCGTTCTTTTCAATTTTGACTTTTGTCTCGTAAAATGACAACTTTACTCTGGTAAAAATTGTGAATTTATTCGCAAGCTATTCTCATACAAAAGAGATTTTGTCAAATGACACCTGGCGAAATGTCGGTTTCATTGACAAAATAATCACTTTCATTCTTTCTTAATGCTATGACGCTTCCCTTTTTTGTTTAAAAAACAAAAATGTCATTTTCACCCAAGCTACTACGAGAGGAGACGACACAATGCTCCTTTATTATCTTGCTGATATCTTTTCAACTTTGTGTTGACAGGCAACATTCCCACGCCGGCACGCCAAAAAGGACGTGCCGGAAGTAATGCAGCGCAAAGGAGGCATTCAACACGGCGACGGGCACAGCAGGCTTCCTTGTTTCCCGTCAGTCAAAAGCAGAAACGAATCACACAGCAGTGACCTCGCCCGGAGAAAGCGCATTTTGCTCACCGACTGTTCTTCGAAAGCAGAATCAAGCATTCTATAGAAGCAAAGGCCCTGCTGTTGCAATGCAGACTTTCAGAAGCGACACTACAGCTATTTTCTTCAGACGACGACTTGATTCTCACGATCATAAAAACGACGACTTTGTTTGCGTCAAATCTCATCGGGATCCAAGTTACAACTTTATATTCCATAAAATTACGACTGTCATCATCATCATCATCGTAAAACTTTCAAAACAATGACGTCTTTCCTGTCGAAAGCTGTCAAGTGTTTTTAATGCTGCCTGAAGTTCCAATCAAAAACATTTTAGGTCCGTGTTACGACGTTCACTTTTTGTTCAAGTTCATGTCGAAGGAGTAACCCCCAATGGCATTCTGAAACGTTGGTATCGATTTTAGGGAGGATCATGGAAGTCGACATGTGATTTTGTCGCTTTTGCGGGCCACACAAACTGATGAGGCGGGCCAGATTTGGGCCTCGGGTTTTGACACCCGCCATCAGGCTTCTAATGCATCAAGCTTTTTTTGGCCTTTAACTTCCTAAGTCACGAATGTTTTCAGAAAACAAAAAGCCACACCATGTCAGGCAAGCGCAATTTGAGCCAAGAATGACTCTGAGCGACTGAGCAAATTTTGAGGGATTTATTCAAAGCCAACATATTCGATTTTCAACATTGTATAATATACGTGGTTTTTTTTTCCCGTTTTTAATGAATCACTCCCACACAATAAGGTATTTTAAGGACAAGTGGCTGCTGACAATTTCAAGGGAATTTTGGTGCATTTGTCGTAAGCCTGACTTAAGAAGAGTGGCTCGAATCAAATTATGGCCTTAAATACTTTGCCTTCCAGAGCACGACACTACTAATAAAAGGTGTTATCATACAAAACATTGCTGTGACTTAGTAGTTAATAAGTGTCAGGCCTCTTCTTGTCTGAGCTAGCATAGCCACGTCAAATCATGTCCGTGGGGAAACGTCCTTTGCGCGGCACAAACATGACACTGCACGCCATCAAACAGTGGCTCTCAGACTTAACAATGACATTTATAAAATTGGAAGAGACGTACAAATTGTGCGATTTAAAAAGCTTCGGGAAAATTCTAAACATCTGGCCTCTCACTGAAACTTCACGGAAGGAAGAAAAATGACGCGAGCGCCCCTCCAGAAGAAGGAAGTGAGTGACAATCGCGGCAACCAATGGCCTCCTCGAAAGAGGAGGCAAGCGTACGCACATAAGCCACGGCAGCCAATCGGCAACGGCTAAAGGAAACGGGAGGGAGGGGGAGGGGGCGTATAACTTTGTGATTTTCAAGCTCGGTCGACTCTCGCCTTCCCTTGAAAGGCCCGACCAAATTCCGGCATTGGCTCAATAACGCATAATAGTGATAATGACATTTAGGAATCTAACGACGGCGGGGTATTTTAACAGATTTTTTTTTGTTTGCCTTTTTTTTTTGACGCTCAGGAAACTAGACGAGAAGGTCCCGGTGTAAACAGCCCCGAAAGTAGACGCAACCTACCCAGAAATTGTCCACGAAGTAGGGCGTAATCATCTTGTCTTCGTCGTCCTCTTCTTCGCCGCCGACACTTTTGGAGAAACTTTGGTTTTTCGTTTTATAAAATGGCCAAATTCATCCACAACGAGCTCTCGCTGAGTTCATGCCGTGCACTGCTTCGTTTCTTTCTTCCGCTCGCCCCGTCGGGGTTCGCCTCCTTCCTTTCCCTTTTGCCCCCTTTTTTCCCCTTCCTCCCACCTCAGCCCACAAAACTCCACCTCTCGGCCCCGGTCGGTTGTCCAAGTGCGTCTCTCGCTACTCCCGCGTCGACCAGCAAACAACGAGTCGAGCCGCTCGGCGGAACCTCGCAGGACGAAACCGCGCTGCCAGCTGCAGTGCTGACGGGAAAAGCGAGAAAACAACGAGGCGAAGGGGAACTCAAAAGGTGCGTTCACTGACGTACAGGAAACTCGGAGAGGCGTCCAGGGACTCTGCGAAAAGCTTCAAACTGCAACCAGCGTGTCAGTGAAATCGCGACTCGACTGTCGTAAAATTACGCCAGCATTTATTAGAACTACAACTTAAAAATTAAAAATTAGCTTCACTCATCCACAAACAATACTTAGTTCACCTAAAATCTTGTCAAATGATGCCTGATTTGGGTAAAATTCTGTCTTTCTACTTGTTTATTTAAATGAAAGCATTCGTCTACATTTACGACTTGATTATAGTAAAATGAGTACATAAAATTACGACATCATTTTTTTAAATTAGGACACCAATCGTCGAATGACGGCAATCATTTTTTGGTCGAATGAACAACTCTCAGTAAACGAGGCCTTCTTTTCGAGGTTTTTTATATGTCGGGTGCGAAACGACTGTTTATATAACAAAAACTGCAATACAGGTGTATCCAAAAAAAATCACAATAGTAAAATACATACAGTATTTTAATGTTTATTTTTTTTCTGTCTTGGGACAAAAATGTGTCTACTTTGGATTGTTTTGTTGGATGCATTCTTTGGTTTATGACAATGTTTGCCTAGCAAACAACGAGTCGAGCCGCTCGGCGGAACCTCGCAGGACGAAACCGCGCTGCCAGCTGCAGTGCTGACGGGAAAAGCGAGAAAACAACGAGGCGAAGGGGAACTCAAAAGGTGCGTTCACTGACGTACAGGAAACTCGGAGAGGCGTCCAGGGACTCTGCGAAAAGCTTCAAACTGCAACCAGCGTGTCAGTGAAATCGCGACTCGACTGTCGTAAAATTACGCCAGCATTTATTAGAACTACAACTTAAAAATTAAAAATTAGCTTCACTCATCCACAAACAATACTTAGTTCACCTAAAATCTTGTCAAATGATGCCTGATTTGGGTAAAATTCTGTCTTTCTACTTGTTTATTTAAATGAAAGCATTCGTCTACATTTACGACTTGATTATAGTAAAATGAGTACATAAAATTACGACATCATTTTTTTAAATTAGGACACCAATCGTCGAATGACGGCAATCATTTTTTGGTCGAATGAACAACTCTCAGTAAACGAGGCCTTCTTTTCGAGGTTTTTTATATGTCGGGTGCGAAACGACTGTTTATATAACAAAAACTGCAATACAGGTGTATCCAAAAAAAATCACAATAGTAAAATACATACAGTATTTTAATGTTTATTTTTTTTCTGTCTTGGGACAAAAATGTGTCTACTTTGGATTGTTTTGTTGGATGCATTCTTTGGTTTATGACAATGTTTGCCTGCGTGTCATAAAGTTTTCTTGCTAGTTGCAAGTAATTCCGGGGATGGGAATATTTACTGTAGATGGGATGGGATTTCAATTGCGTTTTATTCCTTCCTGGATGAAAAACAGCGTTGCCCACTAGGTGTCAGCACAGGACGGAATTTTGTCCAAGTCAGCTTTTGTGGCATCCCAAGAAGAAGTCGAGCCGTCGAGATTCGTCAGTGGGCTCGCTTTGCGTGTACAGCAGCAGTCAGCACAGTCGGTCCCCGACAACCGAGTGCGTTTTGGTGGACCAGCTTCCCTTTTTTGTTTTGAAGAAGCCTCCGCTTTTTTTGGTGCGTTTGTACGAATATAACGCGTACATCCGCGATCATCCCGCAGGTGATTTTGTCCAAAACAGAGCGAGAGGACCACGAGAAAGGCCGAGAAGTCACGACGAGGACTTGAGAGACTTGCACAAACAGTTCTCCTCCTGCTCCTTGAGTCACATTATTTGCTGCGAGAGAGAGAAAAAGAGACAAGGAAACGCCGCCCGAGGAAACATGAGCTTTCTGTTGTAAGTTGTTTTGTCTTCTTGCGTGTTCGTGTGTGTCCTGCCTAAGCCGCGGATTTGTGCTTTTTACTTTGCTTGCATACGTCTGGAGGAGAGCCGAGCCGAGCCGCGCTAGCCGTCGGTAGCATGTTGTGGGCCAAGGCTATTTCCCGGACTGACAAGCGACTCGCCAATGGAGACGTCGTCTTCTTGGACATGTCAATTGCGATCTCCGCGCAGAGTCAGAGTGAATAATGTCATCTTATTTGCGAGGCTCACACAGGGAGACGTTGAGGCGGCTGTATCGTAACCTTCGACGGAAGGCGCGTCACTTCGCTTTGATTCGGTTTCCGTGTGAATGCGAAGGTGTTGGGAGAATTCCACGGGCAGCCATCGAAATCTTTCTCTCCTGGAACATGCCCGTCATTGTTGTGTGGGGCCGAATGTGTGTGCTACGGTGGCCCGCAGAAGGGGAAGGGCTTGAATGAAAAGACAACATTCCGCGGAGTTCGTTTTAATCGGGGGCCAAAAGACCCCGCTAGTAGTGGTTCTACTTTGGAGACGTCCAAGAACCTAAGGCGGGCTCCAACATGAACTAAGTCCTATTTGGCATGAGCCAAGATAGGGATTTCAAACGATCCCTGATGACAGTCATCGTGAGATGCTGTGGGACTGACTACCTGTGGATGTGTGATCACGCTTCCAAAATAGATCCGTACTTTTCACCTACCTGCCAGTTTAGAAAACGGTACTTGAGGAGCGATAGGTAGGTCTGCTTGTGGATGAAAGAGTGAAGCGTGTCGTCTCAGCCGCCAAAATGTACGTGTGGATGGAACACGCAATGCGGACGAGAAAATGTTATTCATCAATTCGAGCGGCGAAAACTCCCAATATCGAGTGTCTTGCCTCATATTTGCGCCGGACGGGCCGGCGCGACTGAACTTGGGCTAGCCCCGGGTCACCGTCGTCAATGTCGGACCTTGGATGGCGAGTTCTGATTTGAGCCAACAACTGAAGTACTGAACCTGGGAATCGAAGAGTTTTAGTTTTGTCTGAACCGCCGCGTGCCGCATCGAGCGTCCTTGGCCTGCGGCCTTTCCTGCCGTGCTGATGAATTGCTGTTGTTGAACGGGAGGCCACGGGAGAAATGACCACTCCAAAGCACCTCATTAGCGCCACAGAGACGCTCTGTTCTGCGCCGCTTTGCTCGGCCGGACGTGTCCGTTCAACTCCTTTGTCTGCACTTTTGTGAAACATTGATGAAGATGCATGGTTTGGGAAGATTCGGCCTTACAATGCAATCTTGGTTTGTTTTTTTGTTCTCTAGATAGATTTGAACAAAATACACCAAGAAATAAATATCAACGATTGAATCAATTTGGTGGCTTCAGCTCGCTCTCTCTCTCTCTCTCTCTCTCTCTCTCTCTCTCTCTCTCCTTCCTCACAGCGGAAGTCGCTCGTCCAAGACGTTCAAGCCCAAGAAAAACATCCCAGAGGGCTCGCACCAGTACGAGCTGTTGAAACATGCCGAGGCCACGCTGGGGAGCGGCAACCTGCGCATGGCCGTCATGTTGCCCGAGGGCGAGGACCTCAACGAGTGGGTTGCGGTCAACAGTAAGCGCCAAACTCCACTTTTCAAACACTTTGCACGCTTGCGGCTTTTGGAGCGAGACTGTACGTTTGGAACTGATGTTGAAATTGAATTCCTGGAGGGGGGGGGGGGGGGGTATTGGGGCCAAAGACTCCTGAGTTTCCAAACAGCGCCGTGTTTTAGTTGATGTTGGGGGGGGGGGTGTATTGGGGCCAAAAGACTCCCGAGTTTCCAAACAGCGCCGTGTTTTAGTTGATCTCAGTAACAACATTGACAACACGAATGACTCCCCCGTGAAGAGTGACATTCGGCATTGCCGCCAAGACCGCAAGCCTTCCTTCTGGGAAAAGACACGCCGACTAACTATTATCGTGGCTCAACGACGGTTTGTGACTATTTACGGCTCTTTGTCTTGGCGCCATTTTAATCACGATCCATTGAGCTGATGCAAATGAGCACTCGAAGGATTCATACCGAGCGGTGTTTGGCAACTTGGATTTCCTGCAAATTCGGAGTTGAGGTCATGACGAGATTCCACCCGACGGCTGTCCAAGTTCCAAGTCGGCATTAGGCGACCTGGCGATCTGATTCGAATCATGTTTACGGTATGGAAAGTTGTGCATTCCCAAAAGACGCGAATTGCTCAATCGTGGCCCTCTTTTGTCAAAGGCAAAATTGCATTTTTTTGGTTTGAGGCACCCTGACTGGGCATCCAGCGTGATTCAAATGATTTTGAGCGTATTCCGAGGCGTTTGCCACGATGGCTTGGTGACCTGTGGCCGTCCGTCGGGGGAATTTTGTCCGAGTGTATTCAAAGGTCCGGGTGAAGGTCATATCTCTTTCTCGGGGGGGATGGCATTGCAGCCGTGGACTTCTTCAACCAGATCAACATGCTGTACGGAACCATCACGGACTTCTGCACGGAGGAGAGTTGTCCCGTCATGTCTGCCGGTCCAAAGTGAGTCAGAGGCCGAACGCTGGCGCCGCCACGTGGCCGGAAAGAGCCGACGAAGCTTTTCAGTACCGTGTCGGTCGACGCCGTCGCTCTTTTGCGCAGGTACGAGTATCACTGGGCAGACGGCACCAACATTAAGAAGCCCATCAAGTGCTCCGCCCCCAAGTACATCGATTACTTGATGACCTGGGTGCAAGACCAGCTGGACGACGAGACGCTTTTCCCCTCCAAGATCGGTACGTCTCCAACGGGTTCAACGCTTCCCACGGTCGGCCACGGCCGCCTTCCGAGGCGCTCGGAGAGGAGAAATGGCTCAAGGACGCGCCTCGGGATCCTCGCTCGGGATCACCTTTCCGCGCACTCTTGACAGCCGCGCCTTTCCTGACTGTGAAAGGCGTGAAACGGTCCCCGTTGTCTCCGAGCGTGCCTCGCCTTGCGCCGGAACGACTCCCGACAGCAACCCGCCGAGGCTTGTTCCGTCGGCCGCGGGCCCAGCCGAGCTGGACGGCGGCCACGTCCAAACAAAAGCGTTCTCTCTCATTGCCGGTTTCGTGCCGCCGTGTTTACGAGTGAACCCGGAGGTGACGAGAAGGCGGCGTTCCGATGTCGCAACGCTTTTGGAACAGGCTCCGATCGCTTGACACATGCTTGGCACGAGCGAGCGCGTCAGAGGACGCGCGTGAGTCACGACCGCTCGCGCTTCCTCAACAGCGTGCCGCCGCCGCCTCTCCGCCGGGAGCCATTTCTGCGCTTGCCTCGATTTGATCTTTTCATGGCAGCCGGGAAAAAGCACTCGGCGCTATCATGGGTGGGGATCCGTTCGCTGCCGTCACGTAGCCCGAATCGGTTATCCCTCCGTTAGCGAACGTGTCGCCGCTTCCTTTTCAAGCCCTTCCGCAGCTTGCGTCGGCAACAAGTTGGAAACGCCCGCGTGTCCAACGCTCCCCGTTGGCTGCCGTCGGGTCGGGCTGCGGCGCCAACAACACCCGCCCGCGCTTTATTGCGTCGCGTCGGACCAAATCCCTTTTCACCCGCCGGCACGCTCGGCAGAATACGCGCTTGTGAAAGGCTTGCGGCCCCGCCGCCGTGTAGCCAACGCGTGTCGGCGCCCCGCGTCTCAACAACCCCCGCGGCAAACCAATCGACGCGCTCCGTCGGGAAACGAGTCGGGCCGTCGCGCCGGCGGCGACCACGTTACATAACGGCCGTTGTTGTTTCCCCCCTCAAGGCGTCCCGTTCAAGCGGAACTTCATGTCGGTGGCCAAGACCATCCTGAAGCGTCTGTTCCGCGTCTACGCGCACATCTACCACCAGCACTTTGACTCTGTCATGCAGCTGCAGGAGGAGGCCCACCTCAACACGTCCTTCAAGCACTTCATCTTCTTTGTGCAGGTGGCAAAAGATGCACGCCGCTCGTCCGTCTCGCTCGTGTGGCGCCGGCTGGCTGTCGCTCCCCGGCCGTCTCCGCCCCCGTTTCAACGGCTTTCTGTCTTGTGTCTCACGACTGTCTCTTGTCTGCGTGTTTCGCTCCGTTTGTCCGTCAAGTCTCTCTCTTTGTCTCTCTGCCCCCCTCCCCCTCCCCGTTCGGGCATCTGTGTGTCTCTGCTGACGCGTTGTCACGTCTTGTCTCGTCAGGAGTTCAACTTGATCGACAGGAAAGAGTTGGCGCCGCTTCAGGAGCTGATCGAGAAGCTGACCACTAAGGACAGATAGACGCCATCGTGCTTTTTTTCTTTTCAGCGATCTTCTACTTTTTGCACAGAAATACCCTCTCCCCCCGCCCCTCCCCTCAACGCCCTCGACTCTTCCTCGGCCGTTCGTATGCAGTATCGACTATATTTCCATTTGGGGAAATGTTTTTAAAAGAGGCCCGGGATGCCGGAAGGGGTCCCGATGGGTTTTAAACGCACTGGGACTCGAGCTTATCAGGAGAGTGGGGTCAAGGTGCAACACTCCTCGCGCCGCCGTGTACCGACTAGCTTCGTGTGACACTTGTTGGCTTACGCTGTACAAAAATAGTGCCGAGACGTCATCCTGGAAGCCATTCCGAGAGCAGAAATTATTCCAGTTTCCCCCCCCCACCCGCGAGTAGTAAAAGCATCCCAAGTGCCTGGCCCGGCCGGCATCTGCGGCGAGAACTGTACCAAGGTCATGTTTGACCTCGATCGTCACGCCAAATCATCGCCGGTCGCCGGATAGAATGAGTTCCAAATACTTGCCATGAGCCATTTTCATGGCTGCGTCGGAGGCATTGACGTGAGAGCTGGCATTGATGCGCCCGTGCCTTTTCGGACAGAACTTGAGCGGATAGAAACGGGAGCAGTTCTGGCTCACCCCGTGGAGAGAATGACACGCATGCTTCCTGATGTCGGCGGGGTCGCGCCTCCGTTCCGGCTTTGGATCGACTTCCTGTCGCCACCTTTCCGGATGACATGCCCTCCCGCCCCCATCTTGCAGCATCTATCGGCAATTTTAAACCAAACGGTTTTGCTGTTTGCTGCGTCAACAAATGAGAGACTGGTAGAAAGTCATTTTGAGGAAAGCAGAAGACGAAAACAAGCTTGCGCGGTTATCCAAAAAGCATTGTCACTCCCAGCTGGTTTACGCATAAAACTGACGCTTAAAACAAAAAGATTCAAACGTTTGATCATTCAAACGTGCAACCCAACCAGATCATTTTATCGCAAAGTCCGCATCGTGCAAAACAGCCCGGCGGAGCCCACAGAAATGAGCCGAGCTGTTCATGTGCATGTTCTTTCTCCTCGGAGGGAACAACGATGAAACCGTCCTTTAGTTGGAGACTCGGTGCCGCCTGGCAGCTTGTGGCACAATGTGGTATTGCACTGAAAAGCGCTGCAATTCCAATTACACACTTAACCTGCAGAGCGTAAAAACCCAGTTTTACCAAATTAGCGCTTGAAAATGTGTTGCCATTCTAGTGGGAGGGGACAAACAATGACCCGTAAAATTCACTGTACCTCCCAGAGCGGAAAATGACCGCAACTTTGAACCGTTCTCCCGCCCTCCTTGCCTGAATGTCTAGTCTGCTTTGTCACACGACCGAGCATCTTTTTCCTTCCCCAAAACTGAATGTCCGCCTGCTCTGCTCATGAGGCACAACTGAGATATTTGCTATGTTATCGCGCATGCGCATCTCCCCGCTCTCAAAAGTCTACTTTACTATGCAATAAGAATTGAGACGTTCAAATAAACAAAAACAACCTTGGAATCCGTCGTCGCGTTCACGCTGGATATTTGTCGCTTCTCACTCAGACATTCAAGTTTCGAAAAGAACGGCTTTGCTTTAGTTTTGTGCTCGTGTTGAGCATCTTTTTTCGGGAGTCGGTCGCTGTTTACCAGAGCTTGTCACACTACAAGGCACAAGATGTAAATAATGATGCCTACGAAGGAGTATTCCAGAAAGACAAAAGGACATAACAAGAAATAAGGTGAAAAAAACGTGAATTGTTGCACTTTTTTTTTTTTTTTTTTACAGTCTTATGAGGGAAAACCATGACTGCCACAAGAGTCATTTCTAAGGATAAATGTGTACTATTGGGGTATACTGCGAGGAGAACGGTCATCTTTACGGTCCAAAAGCATAATGAGCATAAATGTTCTGCGGTGTTATGCTAAATTCATAAAATTCTTGAGGATGTCACCTGATGATTGTTACTTCATACTGTTTTTTTTTTCTCAGATTAACCCCCAACCAACTTTTTTTGTTTTTTGTTTCCAGTACTGCTGTATTCGGACGTAATACTGCTAACAGCACCACTCATCGTAGCTGGATCCGCTAATATAATTGCAATGTATCAGTGTTACTTTCGGCATACCCCCCCCCCCCCCACTAGTACAATACCGGTAAGTGTACTGCGAAAAACGAACTCCCTTTTCATTTGCCTCACGGAATATTTCAAAGTATCCTTGTGTTTTTGAACACAGAATGACGTCTTATTTCTTGACGTTTGCCATCTTATTTCTTTACTGTCTAATATTCCTTCGTAATTCAATCGTTCTCTTAAAATAAGCACGGAGTTGTTTTTTAGCGGCAGTTTCCCATCCCTCAGTTTGGGTATTCAAAAGGTGTTTGCTTGCTTTCGTTGTTTTATGAGCTCATGATTCCGAATGTGCTGACTCGTTTTCCAAGTTTCTCATCTCAAGAAGCATCTCCCAGTCTGGCCTGTTGCTGCGTCGTTAATCATCCATCCTCTTGTCTTTCTTGGCTCTATTCTTTAAGGCAGTGCTTTAAGGAACTGTTTGTAGGCTACGCAACAGCTGGGTAAGGATATTCCAATGCTGCTGAAACGAGTTCTGCTGTTTACAAGGCAAATAAAGGTGGTGTTGAATCTTTGCATTTTTTGAAATTGTTTTATTGACCTTCATTTGTGTTGTGGGAAACGTTGGCCAAGTCGATGATGCAGCTGCTGCGGAAGTGACGACGTTCGAGAAGCTACACGCCAATGTGCGTGACTCTTACACGTCATCTATTGGAATAATAATAATACATTTATAAGCCCCTTTCAAAACACTCATGGGCACTTTACAATCAAGAACAAAAACAATAAAATCACAGATAAAATTATAACAACACCCCAATGCCAGCATAGCGAGATATACATTCGCGTTATGTATCATGTTATAGTTTGGGTGTGTGTGGAGAGAGAGAGAGAGAGAGAGAGAGAGCGAGATATTTTATTTATTTATTTTTTTATCGAATACCATTTGATAATTTACAATGTTGCCGGAAACGATTAGCCACCGTTCCAACCAATTGGATAGTACTGCTGCTTCCTGGGCGGAAGCGAGGACGCCCAACGATGTTGTGTGGGAGGTGGCGTCTTTCTCGCATCCGGTATCTCCTTGATAAATCCCACGTTATATTCTCGAACAATTACGCCAGCTTTCAGCATGGAAACGTAAGGAAAATGTTGTAGTATATCATGGTGTAAATGACAAAAAGACAACTGAAAAGTACTTTCGCTGTTTTCGCTTGGCGTTGACACGCTTGCCGCGACATGCCCAGTGATCATCGAGGTATCACTTCCGGGTTGCAGATGCCGCCGTTGCCCGCCAAACTTTGATAAACGCGCCCGCCGCTTGTCATTCTCTCCCCTTGGACGTCGCGCCGACAGATTTTAACGTCATCAATTGCCAACAACAACATGTTTTTAACCCCCAAGAGGCCGCGCTCCGACTTCATGAACGACTCGATGGAGAAGAGGATAAAGCGGATTTCCATCGAGGGCAACATCGGTGGGTGCATTTCAAATGAGCGAATGCGTTGTGTTGTGAACGAAGACTTCTCATCATCGTTTCGTCATAAATGGCGCCAAGCTCCTCTTCGTGAAGCTAAGACACGGGCTACCACACTGAGAAGCTAACGCGTGTTTGCAAACTAGTGACTTGGTTTTTCTTTTTCCTTTGTGATGGGGGGCAGCGGCGGGAAAGTCGACCTTCGTCCGCCTTCTGGAGCAAGAGTGCGCCGACTGGGAGGTGGTGCCCGAGCCCATCGCCAGGTGGTGCAACGTGCAAACAAGCGGCAGTGACTTTGAGGTACGCTATTCCCCCTTATAGTCGCGACTCGCCGATTCACCCATCTGCTATTTCTTCTGAACCTATCTGCTGTTATTCCCTGACACGACACATAGACGAACAACCATCCGCGCTCTAGGGAAATTTAGAGTGTTCCATTAACCTGCCGCACATCTTTTTGGAATGTGGGAGGAAACCCGAGTACCCGGAGAAAACCCACACAGGCACGGGGAGAACATGCAGACCCATATATGTACATACACATGCGCATGTGTCCTGGAGTCAGTTGAAGAGCTTCTTTTCGAAAAAAAAAGTTTTCTTCGAGAGGCCTTTTGTGGCTTCTGCAAAGCTTTTAGGCGGCGTCAAATACTCGTGGCTCTTCCCCATTCCCGGCAAGGCCCTGAGGAACTTTGTACAGTGTCCCCTTTGGGAGGCCTCCATTCCAGACCCACTTGAAATGGATGATCATCCCTGCTATAGAGAGACCGTCATTTAAAAATAGCTTTACTACTTTCCCACACTTCTGAGACATTTAGAGACACTCTTCGAACTGGCCTGTAGACTAACCTCATACTATGTTTGGCCTCCAGGATCGCGTTACTACTCAGAGTGTAGGTGAAAGCAAAGAGAATTGAACATTAAAAAGTTGAGCGCACAAATGTTCCAACGCACCACAAAATGTCCCCGCCGCGTAGGCGAATTTCAGCTGAACGGACACGTCGAATCTGACGTGGAATTCCGCGGACAGAAAACGGGCAGAAGAATCCAGAGACTCTTTGCCATACCCGTGCGTCATTTTGGATCAAGGAGTCGCTCTTCCGATCCAACTTTGGCGCGGCCGCGGATATGTCATGAAACGGACATGGATATGCCATCCATCTGGGCCCCAGCATAACTGGGAGCGTCTTCATCTGTATTTAGAGTGCAGCTGCCGTCTGTCCGCATGGGCACCTTTGCTCACACGCCCCATTCAACCTTCCAATTGCAATCGCGAGATGAGCTTCGCTCAAAGCAGACACGCTTGCGCATATTTTTGTGGCTCATTGAAATCAATAATGTCACTTTGTGTTTATTATTTGAGCAGACTGCATTGCCTTGTGCTGGAAACATCGGAAGCCCCTTTACCGATGCCACGTCTGCTCTGCCGGCATCATGTTTTTGGAACAATGTCTGGCATGGCGCACGGTGTTGTTGTGATGACTTCATCGATAAATAGTCACATAAATGCAGCCGCAAATGTACAATTCATTTCTACATGAACACAGATGCCATTGCAAATTGTTAAAAATAAACATGTCATTTATAGTTACCGTGCAAATAAATAAAAACGAGGAGCTGATTTTTTTCGGTATACATTTATACCGTCTATCTCTCTCCGTGTCTCTCTCTCGAGCTACATAAAATAGAGCATGACTCATGAAAAGCATTTATATGAATGTATTCATGAAAATGATTCAAAATACAGTACCTTTAATTTGTTAGTACCGAAAAACCCATTTCAGTGCCGGCCGTATCAGAAAAGCCGATCGTTTTGAGGTCGGAAAAGAGCGCCGCCTCCCAAAACACAAGCGGTGGCCTCGCCCAGCAGGAGCTGACGTCGTCGCAGCGTAGCGGCGGCAACGTGCTGAAGATGATGTACGACAAGCCGGAGCGTTGGGCCTACACCTTCCAGAGCTACGCCTGCATCAGCCGCGTGCGCGCCCAGATCCGCTCGGCCAACGGGAAGCTGCGGGAGGCCGACGACCCCGTGCAGTTCTTCGAGCGCTCCATCTACAGCGACAGGTAGGACGCGGCAGCCGTCGAGCTCGAGTTGAACCGGGGCTGCGACCATTCGTCCAAACCGCTCGAGTCATTCCCTTCCAATAGAATCGGGCGGGCATTTCTCGATTTGTTTCGAACGTGCTAAATGCCGGCCCTCAGGTACATCTTCGCCGCCAACCTCTACGAGAACGAGTGCCTGAACGACACGGAGTGGTCCATCTATCAGGACTGGCACGGCTGGCTGCACAGCCAGTTCAGCCGGCACATCCAGCTGGACGGCATCATCTACCTGAGGGTCCCCCCGGAGGTACGTGGCCCATCGCCCTCCCGCCCCGAGCCCCTTTTCCCGCTTTGCTTTCAGAATCGGAATCTTCTTGTTTGGCCAACACGCGCGCACGCAAGCAAGCAATTCGTCGGCAGTCGTAGGAGTCACTTTTTTTCTCCCTTCACTCCCCACCCCGGTGCGTGTAGAAATGCATGGAGAGGCTGCACCTGCGCGGTCGCGAGGAAGAGCAGGAAATCCCTCTGGAGTATCTGGAGAAGCTCCACGTCAAGCACGAGAGCTGGCTGCAGCACAAGACCATGACGTGAGACCTCGCATTGTGCACCCGCACGCCGCCGCTTCTCGTCAGGCGCGTTGACACGAGGGGGCCCGAGCTCGCCTCGTGCGCTCCCGTTTGCCTCTGCCGGAGAAAGGCCGCCTTTCAGCAAGGAAGCCCGAGGGAGGATGGAAGAGATCCCATATGACTGCCATCTGCCTGTGCGGCTCTAGTACTGTGTCTACACCCGTCTGTGCCTGCAGTCTCTATGTGTGTGGATGTACGTATGTGTCTGGCGTTTGTGTGTGTGTGTGTGTGTGTGTGTGTGTGTGTGCGTGCGCCTGTGCGTGTGCGTTTCTCCATGTGTGCGTGTCTACTTTTGGGTTGAGGTGTTTTCCCCAAACTGCCACCACTTCACAAATTCTATGCAACCTTTTCAGCACAACCGTATGTTTCCATTAATCAGTCAAACATTTGGACACACTTTTTGTGTGTTTTTGAAGCAGGAACTGTGTTCAAACCTTTGACTGGTAGCATGTCGACGACGTAGTCGTGTGTCTGTCCAAACCGACTCACCCTTCTGGTCGCACAGGATGGACTTTGAGTATTTGGCCGACTTGCCGGTGCTGACGCTCGACGCCACGGAAGACTTCAAAGGCAACGAGAGCAAGAGTGCCGACATGATGGAGAAAGTAAGAGCGAGTGATGGGACATTGACTGAGGTCATGCTCTGTAACATTCGCGTGTGCGCGCTTCGAGGATACACTCCAACCGAAAGTCCAAACTGTGTTCCAGGTGAAAGAGTTCCTGAGTACCTTGTGAGGAACCGCAAAGGAGGCAAGAGGGGAAATCTATAAAGTGCTGTTTTTAATTTTTTTTATTTGGATTTTGTTTTGTTTTTTCATTGTAATGCCACTGTAGTGACATTTTTTTAACCACAGGTGTCTATTTATCATTGTGTGTGTGTGCGTGCGCGTCTCACAGACTGAAATAAACTATGAAATAAAAGCTTCCATTTGAAATTGACTTGGAAAATACAATCCCACCTTTCTTCATGCAGCGCCTTCACGACAGCTGCAGCTGGAACGAAGCCGCCAGCAGAAATGCTCCCGATTGCTTGGAATGAACCTTTTTAAGTTGCTTAAATTGTTCGTAAGCGTTACAATCCAAGTCCCGAACAATCTATTTGCTTTGACAATTGGTTCGAAACGGATATAAAAAGAGCGGTGAAAACTTTGGGGGGTCCATTGCATATTTTGAATATACTGTAGTACTTTCTACAAATATATAGTCGCGACATGAGAACAAATCAATCGAATGCAAAGAACGAAAACGGTTTGTCCGTGATTCCATCCAACCCTCGCGGTGCTCCTTCTGGTGTGTGCGCCTCGGCCACCTGGGGGCAGTCTCACAGTGGCTATTCATGGAAACGGTCACATCTCTTCGCGAGGCTGCAACAATGTTCTTCAATTATCTTCACGAGCCAGTTTCTGGGGAGTGTTGCGTCGTTTGTTTGGTTTAAGGTCAACCATCTTTGCGAAGGCAAGGCTATGCGGTTGCTCCCGAGGAACATTTTCACACGATACGACAATAGAACATTTCGCAATCCGTGCTAAACCGCTTGACAAATGCTCTTGGTAAATAATTGCTATTTGTTATTGTAATACGAATGCGACCGCTGTATTTTCGATCTAGACACTCAGGCGCGCGCGTGCGTTTGCGCATGTGCGCGTAAAGGTGGGGGAGTGACTCGGGAGCCGCCCTCATCTGGCTGACGTCACCGAGGAGGAGGGATGACTCTTAAATGTGCCCAAAGGAAGCACCGCCGACCGCGAGAACACGCGGGCGACACTTGAGTATTTTTTTTAGTTTGTGTGTACTGTACCGGGCGGGGGGGGGTCCCACGATGACACTCGGGAGCCACCTGTGAGATACTCCCTCAACCTGACCCGACCTACCGAGCTACCGACCGGCTCGGACGCGCTTCCCAAGCCGGCCCGCAGTCACTGCCGCCCGGCTGGCTACACGTCGCCTCGTCGTCTCCCTCCACCGCCAAAGTCTGCGGAAGACGCGACCATGAGTTCGGAGAAGAAGTAAGTCCGCCGAAACTTTTTGAACGAGTTTACCGGTCGTCAACGTTTTGTTCCTGACTTTTTTTGTTTTTGTTTTGAACGTGTTGAAAATGATGCCATGCTCTTGAAGGACTCGCTAATCGGTTTTGCGATGAGCTGTCAGCGTGCATTAAGGCGCTGCGGAGACGGGAACGCGCGCCGTCAGCCCGAGGAACAAACACCCCCACCACCCCCCCCCACCCCCTGGTGGTGGAGTGGAGGCCACTTTTTAGGACTCTACCTTTTTTTTTTTTTGTGTCAGTTTCTACCACGTGTTGTCTCTTTCCAAATTCTTCATTGTGTGTTCCAGTCAAAACAGGTTGTGTACTACGACAGTAGCAACGAGCTCGATGTTAACTAGTACTTTGGTCTCATATGTATCTTGTACTACTACGCGCTTGTCAACTGGCACCGTTTTGGTATTTGATATCCTTGATATCCAGCTCAAGGTTCATGTACTTCTCCGCCCTTTGGCCTCATTAGTAGTTGACTTCAGAGTACTGGTGGAATGACTCGAGTGCACTAGTAGAACGACTGTCGTTCGAGTGTTTTAGTTTCAATGACTGAGTCACATCTCATGCTCACTAGTAGGACAACTTTTGCATACGAATAGGGCAACAACACGTTGCTAATTCCGGAGGCGAAACTGCACGAGTTGACATCCGAGAGTACTATTCAGGACGCTCTCGATGTTAACAAGTCGATTTTTGTCACTGGAGTACTTGGAGCACTCAGTTGTCAACGGTTGGCACACTTTTGCCTCACTCGCCCCATGTAGTGGGCCTCTTAGTTAGGACACAGAGTATCCTAGTAAGAGATGCTTTATCTGTGTCCTGGCATGTCCTTTTTACTCACTAGTTCGACAATTCGGCGCACTAGTAGAAGAAAGGTGTCTGACTAGTAGCACCACATACAGTATGTCATGTGCTTGTTTTGTGTCACTCGTGAGACGGGGTGTCCCACGAGTGTGCCAGTATTGTCATACTGGTGTGCGGCGGTGTCACGCAAGAGCGGGAAGTCAGACACAGTCGTTGTTCCTCGCGCGCCGAATTGTGTTTTACTTCTTACTTTTTTTTCTCCTCTCCAGTAGAACAAACAACTTGTCGGGGAGCAAGTGCATATAAGTGAGGCAAAACTGTCCACTAGTTGACAACATGCGTGCTACTAACTACAGCGACTTGTGCTATTTTAAAATTCAACGTGTTCACATCAAGCACTTCACCAGTCGTCGGGGTCGCGTGCAAAACCTTCTCCCGGGACGCTACTTCTACTCTTTCGGGTCAAAATATTAGGGACGGGTCTCACGTTGATGCATTTGCAACTTGAATAATCCCTCTGACAGCGTCAATCAAAAAGTCAAGAGAAAAGTGATATTATCGGGTGTGTGTCAAGCCATCTCTGATCCCTGAGCTGATGATGATGATGATGATCCCCACTCTAACGAGAAAGAACAGGTCACAGAGTATTAAGATAAGATCAAAGGAAGATTTGTGCACTCTCGTGGGATCTTATCTGTCTTATGCTTTCATGCACAAAAGTGTGTGTGTGTGCGCGCACGTGTGTGAGCGATTATGAGAAAGAGATTGCTTGCGTGTGAGAAAGAAGTGCCTGAAAGTGAGAGGAGTGTAAGTGTGAGATAGGGTCTGAATTGGAGAGGTGTGTGTATGTGTGCATGTGAGAGAGGGCTTGCGCTTCTTTGAAAGAAGCGCATGTGAGAGGACGATGTGTTTTTTGAGACAACTTTATTTGAAGTGAGTGTTGCGGAGAGAGGTGGCTGAGAAGTCTGTCAGATGGGGCGAGGATGGTCTGAATAGGAAACGAGTGTGCCGGAATCTGATAGTGTAATGTGAGAGGTGTGTGTAGAAGTGTGTGTGTGTGTGTGTGTGTGTTCATTTTTTTTCCATGCGTTTTTCCACACGAGCGTGTTTTTCCGCATACGAGTGTGGTTTTTCCACATGCGTGGGTTTCCATCCCGTTCCGGTAATTCCGGCCGGTCGGACGGCAGCACTTTGCCATCTTCTTCAGGCTGCAACCCGAGCCTCGCGCAGTTTCTGCGAGGGGGGCCGACGGAAGGGGCGGAGGCGTCGCATCGGCCCCGCCGGCTCCCTCCCTCCCGGCCGGGCCCACCATCGCCACCTTCCCCGGCCATACCGCTCCCCTCCCGAGGGGATGTGCCGTCTCCTTCCTGAGCTTGATGACGAGAGTCCCCTCGACAAGCGCCACGCTCATCGAAATGAACGCCGCTCCGACATTTTGTTTTCCAATCATTTTTCCCGGATTCGGGTGACACGTAACTCCGCGGCTCTTTGAGTTGACATTTGACACGTTTCTCACTCTGCGGCCCGGTGGCGATATTGCCACGAACCGCCATGCCGAGACAAGAAAGCCAGCCCCCTTACAATGCACGGAGGGTTCCACCCTGAGCGCGGCATCCTGAGGCCCGACGCGAAGCGGAAAGAGGGGGGCCCGGGACGAGCGAGCGAGCGTCACGGGCGCGATCCGGGAGGAAGCCGCGGGCCTCCGAGAATGCGGCGAGAAGATGGCCCCCGGGGATGACCTGCTAAGCGAACGCCTCGAGCAACAGAAACCCGCCGGGGAGGGAGAAGGAGCCAGACGGACCGTCGCGGAAAGACAAATCCCACCGACAAATGCAGACAGTGGCGCACACCGTCCAGAAAACATAACGGGGCTTGGAAAAGGCTCGACCGAAAGACGGGAGGGAGGCACGAGTCATGGCAGTGCAAAATGGATTATTATTATTATTATCAGTCATGATGATTGACGCTCATTTTTAATCGGATGCAGTTTCTATTGAAGCGAAATAGTGAATTGGTGGTCATTTCATCAAGGCGCCACGATCCCGCCGCGTCCTTTTCAATTGAATCCAACGTGACTTCGCCGTTTCATTCAGAGTTGATCGCGCAATCGTCGAAGACTAAATCCCAATGGCTTTTTTTTTGTTCACTTTTAGCCAAATGAGGCAACCGATTTTCAAACGAGAACAATATCCCCCCTTCGCACGTCATGGCGACGCTGTTTTGAAATTGTCTTTTGCAGAGTGGAGGACGAGGCGGTCCTGGACCGAGGGGCGTCTTTCGTCAAGCACGTGTGCGATGAGGAGGAAGTGGAAGGTGAGCGCTTTTTCCCGCACCCCCGCCGCCAGGAAGTCTGTTGCGTCTCCGGAGTGCGCTCGCTCGAGAAGACGCGGGACTCGTGCGCCCATTTTGGGCCTCCATTTTGTCCCATCGCTGCGCGATTTGGACTCGGCTCCAATAGGCCCAGACTAAATCCCTCAGCGTTTTGGTTCTTGTCGTCGGTCGTTCACGGCAAAGTTTGCCGATTGGCCGCGGAAGGCAAAAAGTCCGAGCTTCGCCGCGGTGAAGGCGCTTTGACGTAGACGTTTGCTCGACTTCTCTCTCGCGAGCAGTAGACCCGCCAAAACGTCCGAAGCGGCGCGGCAAGTCTGCCATTTTGGTCCGGAGCCAAACGCGTGTCTCACCTGACTATTTTCACTCGTCGCCGTCGACTGACGGTCAACGACATCCAGACTTTCCGTCTTGAGGCGGCAAAATGCCTGGTGGCTCCCGCAGAGTGAGGGAAGAGGCGGGGTTTGACGGCGCTTCTCAGCCCGTTCAGGCGTTTATGAGCGAGCGTCGGTCCGTTTGTCCTCGGCTCCTTTCCACAGAGCGTGACTGACGATGCCTGAAAATACCGTCGCAGACAGAGCAACGGTCTTGATTGCGGGGGGGGGGCTAACGTCCGGTTGTCTCGGCAGGTCACCACACGGTGTACATCGGCGCGCACGTCCCCA